ATCCTCATCACCACCCTGTGATGCAGATGTTGCCCGCACCGTACAGATGAGGCGTGGGAAGAGGGGAGGGATTACGTCATCTGTCCAGGGCCGGGCAGTTGGGAGATGGCAGCCAAGGGCTCGAGCCCAGGCCTGATCACTGCTGTCAGCAGAACCTTAGCGCTTGTCATTTGTCCGTCTCCTGCCATGTGCCACGTGGGTGCCTGACCACCTCACAGTGACCCTGTGGGCTTGGATCATTACCCCCATGCCCCAAACTCTCCATCATTGAGACACAGCAGGGCTGGTGGAATGGGTGAGGGCCCGGACACTTTCTTCCTCACCCGCATTGCTGTAAAACGCCACATACCAGGCAATTTGCATATATTACTTCTAATCCACGGAAAATCCTGCTTTTGCAACGGAGCGCGTTTATGCCCTGGGAGTGCTGTGCACGGGCGGGGAAGCCGCGGCGCCCGGAGTCTAATCTTGCGCCCTCTAGCGACAACGGTGGTGTACCACACGCGTGATTTCCTCCGCGGACGCGGTCTTCCCTTCATGGCTGCTCTGTGCTGTTGTGCAGGTTGTGTACTTTCCAGCTCCAGACTGGCGCTTCTTGCAGTTGTGCGGCCGTAACCATCCACGGGGGCCCTGCGTCCCTGGCGTGGAGTTGGATTGGAGAGAAGTATACCTCCTGCGTGCAGACTTCAGTGGCCCCTAGTCTGGTAGGGACAAGCCCTGGTCATGTTAATAGCCATTCTATACGGCTGGAGGTGAGGCCTGACCCAAGGGCGCAGAGAGGATGCTGCGGGGCTTCCAAGGACTCGGGGACCAGGTCCAAATGCAGGACTTCCTGGGGCCGTGTCCCTGGTGCTGGACCTCTGAGAACCCAGCACCGTGTTGGCAGGATGAATCTTGGTCAGGAGCCGCCTCCATCCTGTGTATGGAACCAGGCAGGGTAGACATATAAAGAAATTAAGAGGCTCGTTGGAAAGAAAGCAGGAAGGTGGGTTGGCGTGGCTGGTGGCAGGTCTGGAATGCTAGCCAGAGTTCAGACTTCATTCTCTTTGCAGTAAGAGCCCCGAAGGGCTCTGCACAGAGCTGGGTTTCCGAGAGAGTGGAGACAGACGGCGGTGACTGCACCGGTCCGGGCAGAAGACAGAGACGAGAGACCGTAGAGGCCAGAATCCGGTGGGGGCAAAGGGGAGGCGGAGCCAGGCAGGAGAGGCGCCGCTGATTGGATTCGGGAGCAGCAAATGGGAGGAGCCAGATTTGAGTGCTGACGTCACTTGTTATGCCAGCCTGCAAATGGGCGTGAGATGGGGGGTAGTGACTTCGATTTTCCTTGTCAACCTCAAGCTGAACCACCAAGAGGGCCCAGAAAAAACATTTCAGGTTCTCTGCCCTTCGCTCCCCCCCACCACCCTGCCCCACAGCAATGGTGGAAAGATCTTAAAATCTTTACAAGGGATTAACACTGACAGCACAGGCCCCTCTCGGCAAAGGGCGGGTAAGTAATTAGCACCAGCTACCCAGCCTTATTTGCCTACACGGAGCCTACAACTCCCAGCTCGTTTTCTTCCCCTGCTCCAAGCCTCTGGGGATATCCAGTCAGCCTGGGTTTAAATTCTGGCTGGGCCACTTCCTAGCTGTGTAATCTTGAGGAGGTCAGTTAAACTCCCTGAGGCTCAGTTTGCCCATCTGCAAAATGGGGACTAATGATCGCACCTCTCTTACTCCCAGGGTCATGGTGAGCTTTACATAAATTAAAGTACAAGTGGAGCTTGGAACAGTGCCTGGCATGTAGTAAGGACACGTGGCTGGCTCAGTCCGCAGAGCGTGTGACTTTTGATCTCAGGGTCCTGAATTCAAACCCCATGCTGGGTGTAGAGCTTACATTGCAGAACAAAACATACACACACAAGAAAAATGCCGGCTGTCACCATAATTATTGAGAATGAAAGATTGGGTCACAACTGCTGGTGGCTCGGCTGATAGTTTTGTTCATTCATTCATTGAACAGATGTTTACTGAGAGCCTGTTAAGTGCTGAGGATACAGCAATGAACAAAACAGACAGATCCCTGGCCTCATGGAGTTTATCCAGTTAATCAGCACCTTCTATGAGAGCAGCTTTGAGCAGGCTTCACAGCCTCCCTGGATCTCGGTTACTCCATCCCCATAATGCGGAGCTCCGGTGGGCATGGAGGTCTGGGGCAGGGGATTCAGAAGAGTCAGCTGTTCCAGCGTGGCACCAGCCTTCTCTTCCAGAGAGGGAGCTCCCCATGGCTAGAAGTAATTGAGCAAAGGCTGAGCATCCCTGAAGGTCCCTCTCTACCCTGAAAGGTTAAGGAAGTCTGGGGCTTTATTATTCCATGACAGGTATGATAAACTTAAGAGCATGAGCACACACATGGAACTTCTGAAAAAGTTCTTAAATTCAAGATAATAGTGTGGCCACAAGGTGGCACCACCACCCAGGCCCAATCTTGAAAAAAATTTTTTTAAAAAAATTATAGTTAAGGGGTGCCTGGGTGGCGCAGTGGGTTAAGCATCTGACTCTTGGTTTCAGCTCAGGTGGTGATCTCAGGGTCATGAGATGGAGCCCCTGTTGGGCTCCATGCTCAGCGTGGAGTCTGCTTAAGACTCTCTCCCTCTCTCTCTCTGCCCCTCCCTCCCGAGCCTGTGTGTGTGCTCGTGCGCTCGCGCGCGCTCTCTCTCTCAAATAAATAAATAAATCTTTGAAAAAAAATTATAGTTAAGGGGCGCCTGGGTGGCTCAGTCGTTAAGCGTCCGCCTTCGGCTCAGGTCATGATCCCGGGGTCCTGGGATCGAGCCCCGCATCGGGCTCCCTGCTCCGCGGGAAGCCTGCTTCTCCCTCTCCCACTCCCCCTGCTTGTGTTCCCTCTCTCGCTGTGTCTTTGTCAAATAAATAAATAAATAAATAAAATCTTTAAAAAAATTATAGTTAAGTACGGATCACAATATAACAAATGTCTCTGAACCCGTCACCCAGAATGAACAAATATTAACAAATTTGTCATGTTTTCTTTAGGTCTTTAAAGAAAATAATAATGGCCCCGAATCCACAGGGCTGGTATGCAACAGCAATGGGATGCCAAGTCTGGTCTTTACGATTTTCAGTCTAGTGCCTGGTGTCCTGTCCTCTGGGACATGGCAGAAATTGTCATAGGGGTGTCACATGGCAGGGAGGACGGGCCTCCTTTTCCTGCCACATAGACCCATCTGTGGGCACGACTGGGACTCTGGGCCCCAAATAGTGGCTTGGGGGTGGGTGGGGCGCTGCAGGGTCTTGGGGTTTTTCTGTCTTGGGTGTTGGGCAGTCCCGAGTTTCAGTTCCACTTCGTCTCTTGCTGCTGGTGACCTTGGATGAGGCCCTTGGCCTCTCTGAGTCTCAGTTTAACACCTATCAGCACTATTGTAGTGGTAGGAATAAGAGAATAATAAAGCCCCTGGAACATAGGAGGAATCTTACATGTGGGGGGTATGACTTTTCTGTTTCTGTGGAGGGAAAAAGACCCCTTTCGCTCTCAGATTCCCTTTATGTTGCTCTTCATTTTCTTTTTCTTTTTCTAAAGCAGTGATCCCTTTATGATGACTTTGTCTATTATGCTTACTGTTTATTGTCTGTCTCCTTCCACTAGAACATAAACTCCATGAAGCTGGATCTTTGTTGTGGTTACTGTAGTGTCCTAATTGGCCAGAACAGTGCCTAACATCTAGTAGGTGCTCAATAAATGTATATTGAATGAATGCGTGGGATCTGCAGTACTGATCTGTGAAGCATCTTGTAGAGACTCGTCTTAGCTAGGGGCGAGAGAGCACCTTCAGAGGGTGCTCCCTGCAGTGGCTCTGCCCCATCTGGCCTAGGGATTCCCAAATCTGTTCACACTCTTTGTTTGATTGGGAGTACCAGCACATCAGGGACTTCATCCTTCCCGCCTGTTGCTGTCGGGGAGTGGTAGATTTCTGCTCAAAGGCAGAAATCCTCCCCGAGGAGAAGGTAACCTACTGTTTAAAGGTTTGAAGGAAGCATTTATATGGGTTATTATATATTATGTATACTATTGTATACATGTACATATGTGCATATATATGTGTGTGACATCTGGGTGTCAAGCGAGCTCCCCAGTAGCTCCCAATGGGCTCCCCCTGCTAGCGCGGCGACCCCCGCTGCGGGTGGGCAGCGCCCCCACTGGGAAGCAGTCCTAGATAAAGGCGGCCACAGCCCCTCCTCTGAACTCCTCCTGCGCCGCAGCCACCTCCCACTCTCTCAGGTGGGAGAGGGGTGTGCGGGGACGGGGCGAGGCGGGGGGAGGGTGGAGGCCGCGACCCGGAGGTGCGGAGGACCCCGCGCGCTGCGGGGCGGGGGCTCGGCTCTCCCCGCCCACCGCGGGGCGGGGCGCAGGCTCCGCGGCACTGGGACCGCGCGCTCCTGGAAGCGCCACCCGCTCCTCCGCGCGCGCCGGCCCCTCGCGGTGCCTCCCGGGCTCCCTGGGCGTCTGCCCGGCCCGCGGCCGCCTCTTCTTCCCCAGCCCCGCGGCGCCTGTCGCAGTCGCCGGCAGCGGAGCAGCGCCGAGCGCCGAGCGCCCAGGTACCGAGCGCGGGCGGGAGCGGGGCCGGGGACCCGGCGGCGGCGCGGCCGCCGCTGCTGCTCCTGTCCCCGCGGGCCGGCCGGGCGTCCTCCCGCACGCCGCAGGGGACCGTGACGGCCCAAGCCCTGGCTGCCTCTGCGTCGGCTCGGAGACCTGCCTTCCCCACCGGGGGCTTTGCTGTGGTTCGCGGGCCCCCGCCCTGCCACCCCAAGTGACCGCGGCTCGCGACCTAGCGCCCCGGTACGCCCACCTGCCGCGGAGGGGGCTGCCCCCTGCCGAGCGCGCACGTTGGTCCCCGGCTCCCAGCTCCTCAGGTCCCCGCCCCAAGCGGGCGTCCCCGTCCCGACCCTCCCTCCCGCTCCCTCTAGGGGGCTCTGCTCCCACCGGTCCAACCTCCCAGTCATCTGCGGTCCTTGACTTCCCGTCCGCTCCCTCTCGGGGACACTGCGCCTCATCAGGTGCGCCCTTCCAAACTCCCTACCCGTTTGCTCCGTGTCCCCACCTCACACCATATAACCCCTCTCCATCTTCCTTGGGTCCTTGCCCCTTGACCTAGTGCCCCTGTTTCTATCTTCCCATCTGACCCCTGGTGACGGTCTGTTCCCACCGACGACGCCCATCCAGCCTCCGCTCCTCCAGGTCCCTCACCCAGGCCTCCCGCCCACCCTACCTCGTCCTCCGGACCCCTCTCGGGCCTGACGTCCTCGCCCCCCGCCCCCATGGTCCCGGAGCCCAGCCCTGCCAACAACAGCACCCCGGACTGGGGGTCGGGGCCGCCGTCGGAGCTGGCGGGCAGCGGCTGGGTGGCGGCCGCGCTGTGCGTGGTCATCGCGCTGACGGCGGCGGCCAACTCGCTGCTCATCGCGCTCATCTGCACGCAGCCTGCGCTGCGCAACACGTCCAACTTCTTCTTGGTGTCGCTCTTCACGTCGGACCTGATGGTGGGGCTGGTGGTGATGCCGCCCGCCATGCTGAACGCGCTGTACGGGCGCTGGGTGCTGGCGCGCGGCCTCTGCCTGCTCTGGGCCGCCTTCGACGTGATGTGCTGCAGCGCCTCCATCCTCAACCTCTGCCTCATCAGCCTGGACCGCTACCTGCTCATCCTCTCGCCGCTGAGCTACAAGCTGCGCATGACGCCCCCGCGCGCCCTGGGGCTTGTCCTGGGCGCCTGGAGCTTGGCTGCCCTCGCTTCCTTCCTGCCCCTGCTGCTGGGCTGGCACCAGCTGGGCCGCGTGAGGGCCCCTGCCCCGGGCCAGTGCCGCCTGCTGGCCAGCCTGCCGTTCGTCCTCGTGGCGTCGGGCCTCACTTTCTTCCTGCCCTCGGGCGCCATCTGCTACACCTACTGCAGGATCCTGCTGGCCGCCCGCAAGCAGGCCGTGCAGGTGGCCTCCCTCACCACCGGCATGGCCGGCCAGGCCCTGGAGACGCTGCAGGTACCCGGGGCGCGCAGGGAGACCCGGGCTTGTGGGATGGAGAGGAAAGAGCAGGCGTTGGGTGCCCACGCGGTATCCATCGCTTGATATATACACTTGCTGGTGACCTCCAAGACCCGGGCTTGTGGGATGGAGAGGAAAGAGCAGGCGTTGGGTGCCCACGCGGCATCCATCGCTTGATATATACACTTGCTGGTGACCTCCAAGTGGGCATCTCCAACACACACGACTCTTCTGCATTCTAGACTCAGTGCTAACTGTCCACAGGACAGCTGCGTCAGCATGCGGGGCAGGCTTCGAGAAGGTAGCATGTGCTAAGGGAATTCAGGGTGTCCCCACCCTCCCTGTCGTTCCCGTCATGGCAAATGGCACCATCATGGCAGTACCCCACAGAAACTCAGGAATAATTTTTCTCCCTCAGGCTCATGGGGTTCATTATCAAGGCCTGTTGGTGCTGTCCCGAACACGTACCACCTCCAAGGCCACCCCCCCCTCAGCCAGGCCCCCATTGCTTCTTTCCTGGAAGCCCTCGCTAGTCTCCTACTGGCTTCCCCTGCTTCCTCTTCAGACTCACTCCTGTCTACTCTCTGCCCAGGAGCCAGAGCATATGACAAAACAGAAGTGAGCCCCTCACTCTTAAGATAAAAGAGGAGACCCATGTTGGGATCTGGTCTGGGAATGCGGTCCTGCCAAGCTCTCCAGCTTCACCTACTCCCCTTGCCCTCTCTCCTTATGCACCAGCCCTTCTGATGTTTCTGGAAGGCACCAGACTGCAGTGTCCAGGACTTGGCATCGCTGTTCCCTCTGCCTGGACAGCTCTTCCCCTGGGGCTGCCCTGTCTGACTCCTTTTCAGCTCACAGGTCACCTCTTCCCAGAGTCTGTCCCTGACCACCCTGTCTGCAGACCCATCGGCACTCCCTCACCCTGTTATTTATCCCAACCGTAGGTTTATATGTTGACTTGTTCATTGTGTCTCTCCCCCACGAGAGTGTAAGCTGGGCACATCTGGGGCGGTTTGGATCCCCACTGTACATCCTAGGTGCTTACTAGTGACTTGTGAGTGCTAAGGCCCTGCAACGTCTGGAGTGCGGTGGCTGTTCTTGTCACTCAGGCCATATGGCACCCGAGTCTTACTGTCTATTGTCCTAAACCCCCAAGGAATGGGAGTTTAGGTTGATGAGGCCTGAGGCCCAGAAAATTAGGTCGCAGGCCCCGAGGAAGGTACTGATGGGGCCCTCCAGTCTTGATGTAGCCCCAGGCGGAGGAGGCTCCTGCAGGATGCGGGTAGTACCTGGGGGCTTGGGTGGATGGGGGCTGAAAGGCGGGCCCTCCGAGCAGCTTGCCTGCCCCATCAACCAGGGGAACGGGCCTTGGGTGGACAGGAGGTCCAGGCTGCAGTCCTACTCCCTCCCTCCGTCTGTGCTCACTGGAGAACTTTCCTGAATCACAGTAGGTGGCTGTGACCCTGACTCTGTTCTCCAGCAGTAGGAAGGCTGCCCTAGGCCATCCACACTCTCTCCCTGGGTTCTTGTAAAGGAGCGTTTCCCAAACTCGAGGCATCTGGAACCACCTTGGGCCGTCCGCCTTCTTTCCAGCCACCCACACGCCTCAGGCGGCTTCCTGCTTCTGTAGTTTGCGTTTTTCTCCCCATCGCCTCACTTACCTATTTACTTCCATGCGTTTGTTTAGAAAGGAAGCTTCTTATCTCTTCTGGAAATGGAAACTCGGGTACCTTTGCCATAAACAGAAGGCGGTCCCAAAGACTGGGGCAGTGCGTGGTGGGAACCCCAGCAGGGTTGCTGAAGCCTGGAGGGGAGCTCCGAGTGGCCCGGCCCAGGCTCGCTTCCTCGTTGGTGCTAGCGGGGTGTTAAAGACAGAGCGGCATCAACACCCACTTCCTCTTGACACAGCCCGAAAAGGAGCTGGAAGAGTGCTGGAAAAGGCTCATGTTCTCAGTCTGTCATTTAGTTCTGTTATGGGTCATCCTCCTCTTCCGCGCTTTGGGGGGCTCCGCACCAGTGACTAAGGATGTGAGGAGGTGGCTGGTCTTGGTGAGGCTGGGGTGGGACGGGTCTGGATTTTCCGTGCCAGTGTCACCTGTGACACACTTTTCTGTCCCTGAGGCTAACTGGCTGGTGCCAGGATTGAACCTGAGACTGTGGCCTGGAGCCCCCGGGGTGCTGACTACAGCAGTCCCATGGTTTCTCAGTGCCCACTGTGTGCCGGCACCTGGCCAAGTTCGTGCCCCAAACACCCACCCGGGCAAGGACTACCATCATCCCTGTTGGACAGATGGGGAGCCCGGGGTTCCGAGAGAGGGGAGGTGTCAGAACCCACCACTTCCCAAACCACTCAGCTCCTAAGCCAGCCTCCTGCCTGCCTGTTTTCCTTATTGTCTGCACAACTGCCTGTGTTTTGGGAATTTGTTTCTGGGACATAGCCTCTACTCCATCTTCCTGGGTCACGACCCCCTTTCCTCCCCCCCAAGCTGGCCGGCCCCTGAGACTAGGCTTCCAGCTGGGCCCTTGAGGCTCCCAGTACCTGGACCTAAAGGAATTGATGAGAACGAACAAACCTTGGGGTGCATTAGACCCCTTTCCTCCTGTCCTCAGCCCTACTTAGCCCTGAGCTCCCTTCCCCAATCCAGCCGCTAGCTTCTCCACGGAGGGTAGGGGATTGGAGGGGGACATGGGTTTCTGAAGCCCCAGCTCCTCTGGGTTTGAGGCCATGGTAACTGAGCAGGCTTGAGTATTTTAAGCTCTCCTCCCACCCCCCCACATCTGCTAGGTATGTGAACAGGCTTTTCAGAAGCCACCGGTCAGCTCAGTGGTTTCAGCCAGGCTTTCCCAGCCCCGCGGCTGTGAGGTGGGGGTCTCGCTTACAGCTGAGGCAGAGACTGGGCTGGGGATGAAGAGCGGGGCCTGGGGAGAGTGGTTTCAGAGCGAGTGAGATGCCGCCAGCGTACGGGAGAGAGGGAGAGAGAGACAGAGAGAGACCTGTGCCAGGGTGGGATGGTGCTCATCCTCGGGAGGGACCCTTGTGGGAGCTCAGTGATGGCGAGCAGCAGGTCGGCCAGGGCGTTTGCCTCCCCAGCCTCTTTGTCTCTGCGTCGGGACCTGTGCCTTTGGTTTGGAGCCCTTGCCCCTCTGTCTTCCTCCGCACCTCACCTTCCTTCCCTTCTCCCACCCCTCTCTCCTCTGGGTCCATCTTGCCCCCTTCTCTGCCCTCTACACCCTCCCGTCAGCCTCTCCCCTTCTCTCCCATCAGTTTCTCCCCCTCTCCTCCTCCACCAGCCTTTTCCACCCCCCCTCACCCAACTCTGCCTCACTTTGTCTTAGCGATCTGTCTTCCCTTCCATCGCTGTCCTTCCTCCTCAGAGGAGGTGGCTGTGATCACAGAAATATCTCAGAGGAGGAGGAGGGGGCTGAGCTGGGAGAGGCTGACAGAGGAGCAGCGCCAAGAGCATGGCAGCCTAGGCTGCTGCTGGGGACAAGGTGGCCCGGAGCAGCCAGAACTGGCTGCAGGAGCTTGTGCATCTGGCTGGTCAGGGGTTCAAATGCTGCCTCCTTTCCCTCCCTGCTGACGACTTTGGACCAGTCATTCAGCTCCC